ATGACCAAACCAAGACATGGGGAACTCAATTTGACAGTGTGCTTTCCAACTGTCTACTTGGTTTTGGAAGGGGGTGGCTCCTTATTGTTTCAGACAATGAAAAAAATTGGACCATTCTGCCATTTTGTTGTCCCTATTGCCTCCAGTTTGTAGTAGTGCAAGTAGCTAYAAACAGATGATTTCTTGTTGTACAACCAGAAGAATATTTGGTGAACTTACTAAGGAGAGTGAGAGCTTTATAACAGTACCCTGGACTTGGTCTAAAATGCTCTGGTTATTGAGGAGATATTGCAATTTCAAGGGTCAGTTTCAGGGTTTTAGTTGTAGTAATGTGTTCTGGTTCACCATTACCACCATGCAATAATGCGAAGTTGTGAGAAAATGTGTCATACATCACCATGCGTCACACTAATAAGAAAAAGCATYACTTTGGTGGGTTATTTAAGGAGGTGTGGTCCAGGACCAAATGGTACTACTACTAGTATCATATATGTACTAGTAGAAAAGTGGTACTTGGTCCTGGTGGTCCTACAGCGATAATAACTTCAATTATTTTTGGTCATGCAGCCAACAACTTGCAAAAAAATCTAATTTCATAGAAGCAGTTACCTTACGTAYGCAGTTGGGTTGGAACATCCTGGTTCCATTATCTCTCTAGTTCTCCTTTCATTATCCAGTATTTGGACTGGCCTTTTTTCAGGACATGCGACCGTGTGCAAAAAGGGAGGGACTTCTACACTTCAACAGAGCAGATTTTACTCGCGCTTCAGCGCTTTTAACTAGTAGGGCTCTTACGTACGGTACCYACGTTGTTATCCCAAAACATAAGCACGCTCTCATTATTCTGTAAAACCACGACGAGTTGAACGCACGAGATTAATACTTCTAGCTGTTCAAGTTGGCGTGCCGCTACCAACCGTACCGGTATGGCCCTGTCGTATGGTACGTATATGTAGGTTGAAGGAGTTTTTGCTATGAGCCATAGTGGTTTGTTCGTTTASGGTTTTTCTTCTGTTTCCTGAACAACAATTGCGATACAGGTAATCCTGAGATTATTTCTGGGCACAATGCGTCATACTACRTCGGAAAAATATCATCATTGATATAAGCCTTTTTATTTCTAGATAAAAAGCCTTTTTATTTCTGGATAAAAAGCCTTTTCTGTTGGTTGTCCGTCTAGTCCGTTAGATCGATCGCTAATGCTACGCATTGGGATTCGTTATCGCCAGAAATCCTCACCCTGTCCCCCGATCTGGAGAGAAAACCCATCACATTCATTATTTCGTATCCAAAATACATGTCACATGCACAGAACGGCACCTGTCACATGCGCGAGGGAACGTTCCAAGCGAGAGTAACTTCCTCTGTTTGTCACACGAGTCATTCAAAACACAACAATCTGAACAACCAGACCCCGTCCGACCCATTCCACTTTCTTTATGAACCAGTCGTAAACCTACTTTTCAATACAATCATGTCCTCTACTCTAGAACCGAGCCCTGATCCGAAAGAAGAATCAAATCCGCCAGCAACCCTTGATGTAACATCGAGTGTAGCCTCATCTGATTTGGCCCYCCAAGGGCCAACAGTGCACGGCACGACCAAGGYGGAACAGATGGAAGCGGCAAAGCTATTTCTCAGCAAGCAAAAAGAGAAAAAGAATCGGCGGAAAAAGGGCCGACGACAACAGAAAGAAACATGCCTCGACGTCTTTAAATATGTCTGTTTGTGTGTTTTAGCCGCAAGTGCGATTGCGTCTTCGATTCTCGTCATYCAATCCTGCCAATTTTTTTCTTATATCGGTAAAGAAACGTCGAAAACAACGACAACTACGAATACAATATCAGTAACTTCTGCAACTATGGTAGCACCAGAGAATGATAACGAAAGTGAAGGAGAAAGCAGCAATAGCGAGAGKGTGGAAAAAAAYAACATTTTCCTTCGAAACAATAGCAGTAGCAAAGCTAGTCAGAGCAACCATGAAGAACATGACGAAGAAACAATGCCTAGCCCTAGGTTCAATCCATCTGTCATCGGTGCGTTTCGTCGAAATAAACATGATCCGCCCGTAATGGAAGAAACGGAAGAATTAGAAGTCGTCCAAGGCAAAAAAGCAGAGGCCGCGGAACAAGAAACACAGGTATTTGATGAATTTGTACAAGCCCAAAATGCCACCAGTAAAGAAAATGATGAGACAGAAAACGAGGATGCCGACAGCGACAGCAGCTATGAATCATACTATTATTCTCCGTTTGAGGATCTACCAGAAGCCACGGTCGGACTCTTTTCGTATTCGATGGGCAATGRCATCGGCAGCTACGACCACGTTTGCTTTCGGTACTACGACGAAACTTCCGACTATAATCTGTTTCGTGGCAACAACGATAGCAATTCCATTGATTATTGGATCGTTGCGCGTTACTGTTCCATCTGTGCCCCGATCGCTGCCTTTTTAGCAGTAATGCAGTTGGTCCTGGAAGCTATTTGCTGTAACAACGGAATCAAGAGTCGCAATCCCGATTCCGAGGCCGCGCCTCGCACCCACTTGCGCTGTAGAAATATTATTTTCACGCTCTGGTTTGTGGTGGCTGGATTTTTGCAACTCGGTACCTTTGTCGTGATGTTTGCCCCACCTGTTTTGTCCGGAATGGAAGATGAGCAGGAAAACTTTTGCCTATCGGGATCTACTATTAGGTGYTCCATGGATACCGGTGCCTGGTTCTCGCTACTCTCGGCGCTTGCCTACCTGATAGTTGCCACCTTTTCCGCTATGCTTCGAATGTCACCAACTACGGTAGGAACTATGTTCTGTGACGATTATGATTACTTCAACAATTACTACAACGCGGATACGGACCACTACCGCGTTTGGAAGATAAGAAATCGCAACGGAAACGACCGCGAGATCTTTTTGAACAGCAGCAGCAAAATCTACGACGACTTCTCGACGGATTCGAGTGTGAGCAGTCTCAGCATCAACAGCAACTACGAGCGTAGAAAAGAGAAGGAACGTAAGAGGGCCTTGGARGCCGAATACAAAGATCTCGATTTCAATGAGTATCTCGTGAACACGATCGACGCTCCGTCACGGCGGTCCCCCAGCAAACCCATCGAGCACCTCAACGCGACAAAAGCACGGGGTTCCCGTCACCTGCAACAGGGGTTAATGTGTTCCTTYGCCGGTCTAGAAGAAGGTATAACTAGAAGCACAAAAAAACGAGGGCTGCCAGTGGCGAAAGCACCACCCGGGTGCGCCTTCATTCCTCCGCAAGATAGTAGTCCCTGGTTTTCCTGTTCGGCCCTATAACGACGGGCRGTGCAATGAAATCGAACAAAACAAAACAAGCTATGTCACTCTGACCAACGAACAAGTAACGTTCAATCACATTGTAGAACGCATGAAACAAACCCTAAACCAACAAGAGAAATGGGTCTCTTTTGGAAMAATCCGCATCATGATTCATATACGAATGTCAGGTTGCTGGGAACAACCGAAAACATACTATACTGGATAGCTGAACAAAACCATGCTATCATRYTTGATCAATATTTCACAGTCGACCATCAGTATCAAGTATAATTTATAACACAAAAACACACAGCTTTAATGTAACACAATCAATAATGTAACAGCTTTTGTCATATTAGGAACGATTGACCGATCTACTATTACAAGTTTTGAAATCTTGTGCTATTATTAGTAAAATTTGAACTGCGTATAATAGTACTGGGAATACATACAGWATTTATTTAAGACTSCGATTCTTAAAACGTCCCCCCCCTGCCTAATGACCCTATTAAGACTAAAAAACAGCATGAGTTTCTTCTTCTTTTAAGCTTTTGGCTCAATATGCTGGACGTTCTGTAATTCCTTTTTGTTAAGAAGTTGTGCCTCATTGACCATGTGGAACAGTACTTCAGTATTGACCCACGTAGACAAAAGACCCAACATGCATACCATGCAAGTAGTGTTAATGGGATTTTTTTTCAGTCTTGCCAGCAATATACTATGTCCAAACAGTGCTTTTCCAGTAGGAATCAAGCTACTTCTAAAGGTAAATTAAATGACTAGTAATGTAGGGAATAAACTGATTGCAAACCACTCCTTCTTCCTTTCAAAGCTTTGTGAGCAGCTCGTCAGCTCAGCACCTCTACTGTACTTCAACTAACAGTGCCATGCAAAGCACTGGGCAGCAAAGCACTCACTATTTATAGGGGAGAACAGAAAGAAACAAGCAACAGCAAGGGTCAATGGCAGCAAGAAGAAGAAGCAAATCACAAATAGCAAGGACAAGGAGCATCACTGGAGGACAAATCAATACTAGTAGAGGGGAGAAGACAAATTAATGAGAAGTGATGCTGAAGGAGGAAGCAATACTGGAGGAAGAAGAAGCACTAAAAAAGAAGCAAAGAACAAGAAACAAGAAGGGACAGCAGCAGCAGCAATGATAACAACAACAAGCAAAATGCAAATTGCTATAACAAGAAGCAACAAATTGTCACTGGAGGATGAATTGATACTAGGAGAGAAGACAAGACAAATTGGCAATACTAGAGGGGACAAAGGAAGAAGCAATACTAGAGGAAGAAGCAATACTGCAGGAGGAAGAATGGATCACAATGATGCCTCCCTGCTGCCCCTCTCCATTCAGCATCCATACATGTAGTTTCCACACAAACGCTTCAAGCATCTTTGTTATGTAGAGGAGAAGATTGAAGTRCTATGCAAGGTACATCTTGAATGTCCTACTACTCCTTTTTGCCTCAAATGGAACAGTCAAGATAGGGGAGTAAGMAAATTTTCAAATTGAACTTTTCTCCATGTATTGCAGAGATTTACAACAGACAAGAAAAGCAATAGAGAAGCAGCAGTAGCACACTRCATAATGAACTTCATTGAACAAGACAGGAAGAGTAGGCATAGGATAGTAATGATGGATTTGATTTGCTATACTGAGCATGAAAAGAATGTTGGCAGAAGATTTTTCCTTCCCTTCATCAATTCAGTCAGGGAGGGGGGAGATGTGATTGAAACATCACATGGCTCTGGTGTTGTTGCTGGTGGTGCAGAGGACCTCAAAGACACAAAAGTCTGATGTTCAGCTTTGAGATATGTCCTTGATGKTGGAAAGCGTCAATGGAAGCAATGTCAGGATAATGTTAATACAAATWCAATGCCTTCACATGGCAATTGCAATCAATGATCTCCCCAAGGCTGGAGGTTTGATGAGAGGGTTAGGGATGACCTTGTTTAATATTTTGAACAGCTGAAACAGCCCTTTACAACTGACTCATATGAATGAAATAATGGAAGTCAGAACATAAAAAGACTAAAATAGTTTTGACTGTAATTGGTTCTCTCAGAGGAAGGGGGGTCTGGGGGGTGGATTTTGAAGAAACACGATATACTCATCTTTTTAGTCGTCGTCGTAGAGCCGGTAGGGTTTTGAACTGYAAGAAACATAGTAGTAAAACAATACAGTTACGGGAATGAGATGCCAGCTTAAATGCTGGTGGCATGCGACTAAATTGAAAATACAGTGTTGACATCTTTGACTTCCACTGCCACTGAAGCAGATCAATTTGTCTCACCAGTTCTTGGTTCTTGTTGATGTACGATTTGAGAGATACTAAACATATGAGTGGTAYCTATTTGAGTGATATTCCTACTACTGACAACGGCGAAGAACAGGACCCTTTTGGATCTACCGGTTCGTAGCAACAACTGCTTCGGTTCGAAATTGTTGAGAAATCCTTTCCGCGTTGCCATTCGAATCTTTCGAGGCTCACAACAATGGGGTTCGGTAGAAGTACGGTACAATACAGTATGTATCGTAACATCTTGCCACGAAGCGAACCATCCCGGGCACTGATAGAAGCAAGAACAGCCTCACATACAACTACCCCACACCACTGTCCAATATTGAAAGGAAATAAAAACTAGCGAGCAACAACACGAGAACAGCAAGAATGAGCACTGTTTCTCCTAGCACAATCCTCCTCGACGAATACCATGCTCTCTTGGTAGCGGCGGAAGAATCCGAATCCTCAAGCGATGGAGAGGGCAGCCCGCTCAATATTGGCACGATATCCTGGAGCAACCAGGGAGCGAACGCAACAGATATACCACCGATTTCGCCCCTCGATACCCTGGTGGTAGTTGACATGCAACACGATTTTTTGCCCGGTGGAGCCTTTGGGGTCGACGAGGGAGACGCTGTCATCGAAGGTATTTGCGAATTGATTCAGAGGTTCCACGAGGCCGGTGCGTTCCGTTGTATTGTGTCGTGTCGTATCGTATCGCGTTGCATTCTGTYGAGAGATGACCAGATATGCTCAGATCAGCAGGAGCATTTTTGCGTTGAAGTGTTCGCTTCCCTCACGAATTCTTTCTTTCTTTGTGTGAAATGTTGTTTGTTTGTTTCCATGCTTCCATCCAACTGAACCGGTTGTGACGTATAAACGCTACGAACTATCTATTTCCATGTTTTTATTTATAATACTATGGATTGCTTCCATTCACCCCGACAATCTAAAAAAAATCATGACAAACGAATGATCATACTATYACCGTTTCTTCTGCATACAAACCCGCACAGGGGCTACTGTGCTTGCATCGCGGGATTACCACCCGACCGACCACTGCTCCTTTCAGTCKCATGGAGGACCTTTTCCGACGCATTGCGTCATGGGGACCCGCGGGAGTTTTTTCCATCCGAGGATTGCGGAAACGCTTCAGCCATTGCTTGCGCTGGCCCAGAACGGTRGGGACGGAGACGACAAATCAAACACAAACAGAAACACCCACGTCATATACAAGGGGTTCTACAAAGGGGTGGAATCCTTTGGGGGATTTCCGTATARTAGTGAAAACGACAAATGGAAAGAACGCTTGTCGCACCAATCCGACGATGCGGTAGACTGGACCGGGGGCTACGCCCTGAAAGCTTCCAACATAGGTGCAGATGCCAATGCCTCCCCCGATGTTCTTTCGTTTCTAGACAAGAAACCCAGCAGCTCCCTGCTGCCCACCAGCAACGAAGRTGAGGGGCGGGTCTTTTGCTGCGGACTCGCCATGGATTATTGCGTCCTCGACACGGCCGTCAATTTCGTTCAGACCGTTCAGAACAACAACAGCTGCTTCCTGGTGCAGGACCTGACACGGGCGGCTCGGATTCCGGGGKTGGGTGCCTTTGGAAGTGGATTCCTGACGGATCCAAGTGTCCTGYTGGAGAGTCTCAAGGCCAACAAGATCGGGTTGGTGCGGTTCACCGATTGAGACGAAATCTTGCTGGACCGAGTTACCGATTGGCTGATTCGGGTTGTTTGATTCATCTATAGTCGAAGTCTTTTTGATGGACGGAGCCGAACAAACGAAACACAAGCTGTTGGTGCTTTTCAATTGTTTGTTGTTTGTTTTTTCTTTCTCGTGTGCTACTACGACGAGTGCACGCGTGTGTATTGTACAGTGTTTGTATGATATGACAAACACTGCGCTGCGATTTCAGTTTGGTACGATTGTTTCCTTTGTGCACTGCATTTGGATACATTTTTTGGTTCATTTTTTAATAATGTTAGAAAATTCCTTGATTACGTGTAGAAATTAGATATTTAATAYTCACTGCATCAATTCAAAGGCTTCCGCAATCTGCGATAGTAATGGTTGCCTTTGGGCGCCCGCTATCTGTTCCGTAGGCCTCGACTTTCTTGATAAGTTCCAGTCCCTTGGTGACTTTTCCGAAGACGACGTGCTTTCCGTTCAACCATGGAGTTTGGGCCGTGCAAATGAAGACTGCGAGGATACAATGCGTATTTGGAGATTTGTGTGAGTTCGTTTGGTCGTTCGAATCATTTATGGACGATAGTGTGTGTGGAGATGATAGTGTCGTGGGTATAATCAAGAAATGAGTCGCGGCGAAGTTGCAGTGAGACAAAAGAAGAACTGAATCCACGAAAAATAAAGAAAGTAGCTATCGACAAAATGAAATAGAACCGCAACCAAGTACGACCAGAAATTCGACCGATTCGCATTGGAAACATGGAGAGAGATCCGTCCTACACTTAATCTTCCGTTTTCCCTCTCCCGTACATCACTTACATTGCTGTTTGTTAAGATTCATCAAAATGAACATGGTTGTGTTGTTCATTGTCGCCGTGGGAAGATTTTCAAGTAGACAACGAGGCAAGCAATTTGAGCGCAAAAACAAAAGTCAGCGTACATCGGGCATCGGCTCTAGATAATTCCAAACAACAGCCATGAACAGTCCAATGAACAATGTTCGAAAAGAAATATGTAGGAATGCATATTGCAGGATTGCGTTAATACATGGCATCATAAACGCACCGATCCGTTCGTGTTGGGCCCAGCGTTGGCCATGCTGAGGGTTCCGACCCCGCCGTGGTTCAGATCGAAGTTTTCGTCCTCGAAGGTTCTCCCGTAGATACTCTTTCCACCGGTTCCATTCCCGTTGGTAAAGTCTCCTCCCTGGCACATAAAGCCGGGAATGATCCGGTGAAAGGAGGACCCCTTGTAGCCGTCTCCCTTCTTGGTCTTACAGCATAGCTGCTTGAAGTTTTCGACCGTCTTGGGGACGGTGCTCCCGTAGAGGCCCATCTCCACGCGTCCGGCGTCGGCTCCGTCGATAGTGAGGTCGAAGTAGACCGTGTCGGTGATCTCGGCGTCGGTGCCGCCTCCGAAGAAGGCGTCGAAGATTCCGCCGATCATGTTGTGTTGCGTGGTCGAGGTGGTCGTTGTTGTTGCCAGCTTGGTCGACGTCGACGCCGGAGCAAAGGCTCCGACGGTCCCGACGAGGAGGACGAAAAGGTATGTGGCGATAGAGTAGCTGTTCATCGTTACAGTTGTCGTGTACAAAATATAGATTAATTTTTGTGGCTTGATTCAGTAGTATCACTGAGCAAAATACATCCGATGACAACAGTCTCGTTCTACCGTCACTCGAACAGAAAGATGAACAAAAAGATTGGATTTTGTCGACGATGATTGATTTTTTCTTCAACTGTACTGTACGTTGTGAACGTACTGCTACTTACCGGTTTATTAGGGTCGTTACACGTCTACGTACGCACGTACCGTAAATTGTCTCACGATTTGGGCAATCACGAGTGAATTTCGAGTCCTGCGAAGATTTCAAGACTATGATACAGTAGTACAGTACGGTACGAGCACTACAGAGAGAAGACAAAAAACAGGAAATGGTGTGATATTGTACGAAGTACCGTATATTTTACTRTACTCGTACGTACTTCACTTACCACCAGGGGTGACCCCTGCTTACGAGCGTACTACTCGTAACTACAAACACGCAACTTCTTTTCGAAAGAAAATGACTCTATTTCAGGTACGAGTATGACCCCTGCCAGGACGTTCGTTCGTAGGGTATGAGTCATATCGAGTGTGAAGTACGAGTAAAGTACGTAGTCGTGACGGTAAAAGTATGTATGGTACTCGTACTCCGTCTACAGTACTTTTAGCGTGTAACGTGTAACGCGCCCTAAATASGACATACATACCCGTACGTACGGTACATATGTACTGTACGTACTTTATGGTAAGAGTAAACTTTTTTGAATGACAAATTTGACAAATCCGACCGCAGGAAGTTCCAGTATTTGAACGGCAGCAACTGCGCAAAAGTAACTGGTACGTACGGTACTTTGTACTGTTGCGTGAAACCGAGCACGACAAATTGGAGAGACTGGACCATTATAAAAAGGCAACATCGACCATGGCTTCGACACCACAACCCTCCAGCAACGAGGAAGAGAAACTTCTGGGTCCAAATTCCTCTCCCTCTTCCAGTGACAACAACAAGAACAACAACTATGGAGCAGCAGCAACCGCGGCAACCCTGCTAGGTTCGTCMCCAAACCCAACGAGAAATTCCTGCTGCGACGAGAACGGAAACTGCGAGAATGCACCGAGCCGAAAGCGGGCCTTCCCGGGTACTGCGAGCTCTKCCGCGAGCAGTTCCTCCACCAACAATCTCGTTCGCTTTTTCGGTGACTTGTTCCAGACGCAGAATTCCCGCACGTCAGTGGCGGCCTGTTGCGCAAGCGGGACCTGCGTTTACACACAGAAATTCTTGTACAGCGGACCGGACAACAACCCCGAGCAACAAAAGCAGCAACTTCCCCGCCGGCCGTCGGAACGGAGCTTGTCRGAGGAGAGCGTCGGCAGCTACAAMWRCCCCTCCACACCAATCCGGAGCCGGACCAACAGCGCCGATTCGTCTTCGCTGTCGGGGMAGTCCCCCTCGTCCCTAACACAGCAGCAACTCGGGTCGACCACCCCTCCGCCCCAGATGGACCCCACCGTCGCTCAGACGATTGTTCGATCGACCCTTCACTGCACGGGGATCTGCTGCTCGTCCGAGGTGCCCGAGCTACTGGAGATTCTACAACCCACCGAGGGCATCGCGGAGGTCAAGGTCAACGTCCCACTCAAACAAATCATTCTGGACCACGACTGCCGGGTGATCTCGGCGACCCAGATCGCAAAGCTCCTGGAAGAGGAGCTCTTCCCGTCCAAGGTAGAGCGGGACGGTGGGGCCTCTCTCCCGAGCTTTGTCCGCTCGACCTTTCACTCCAAGGGATTGTGCTGCTCGTCGGAGGTCCCCCTCATCGTTTCCATCCTCCAGCCCTACGAGGGTGTCTCTGACATCAAGTTCAACGTCCCGCTGAAGCAAATCATCGTGGAGCACAATTCTAAGGTCATCTCGGCAGCACAGCTGGCCTCCCTCCTGACCAAAGAGGACTTTCCGACCTCCATCGTTGCGGACGGTGGAACGAAAACGGTGGGGGTCGAGGGTCGCTCCAAGTTTCACGTTGGGGGGATCTGCTGTGCCTCGGAAATTCCGGCCATCAAGACCATCCTAGAACCCAAGGRGGGGATCAAGGGGCTGATTGTCAACGTGGCGACCAAAATGGTGAGAAYGCCTTGGGGGTTGAGTGTGCACGGTGTGTGAATTGTCWTAGAGAARCAAGTTTTCTAACACGTTGCATTTKTTGCTTGGGCTTCTCATTCTTTGAATGCGTGTTTTGAATTTGCTAATGTTTGAATCGACTAGGTATACGTCGATCACAGTGCCAACATCATCAGCGCGGACWCCATTGCGGATTCCCTCAACGACAACGGTTTTGACGCTGTGGTAAAGTACGACTGTTACAAGGATGCTGGGGGCTTTCTGTCCTCCTTTGTCATGTCTAAATTTTCGATCGAATCTTCTTCTCCCACAATGGCAAAGGATCTRAAGACGTACCTYAAAACGTACAACGAGGATCATATAGAGGGATATCAACTCGAGAAAAGCTCYATGATCATTTCTATTATTCACAATCCGCTATTGATTTCTGCCGAYGAGTTGAGTCGGTCCATGCTTGAAGCTACGGAGATCAAGACGAGCGTCGAGAAGGACGGAAAYGATGGCAAAGTCTGGAACTTTTCGGAGTCAATCGAAGAGGACGATGCATTGGACGATCCTGCAGAGGAATTGGRAAATGGCATCCAGCCGGCCGTTGCCATTTGCGGAGTCTTTTGGATCCTCTCGATGCTTTCGTATGTAGGTGGAAGCTGGAGGGTGTTTTCCTACCTCGGCCTGCTGTCGGTCGGGATCGGAATCCCACCGATCGCGAMGAAGGCCTACCGGACAGCCTGCCGMGGAATGATTGACACGAATGTCTTGATGTTTCTGGCGGTCTTTGGTGCCGTCTGTCTTGGACAATTCAACGAGGCGGCCGCCGTGACGTTTTTGTTTTCTCTTTCCGAATGGTTGGAACACCGGGCYACCAGCCGGGCCAATGCGGCCCTCACCTCGATTGTCAAGCTCAAACCAGAGCGTGCTAACATAATTCAACCCAAAACCAAAGAMCTCGTTGTTGTTCCGGCGACGTCGGTRCCTGTGGGAGCCATGGTCGCCGTCAAGAGCGGGGACAAGATCCCCTGCGATGGTATCATTGTCGAGGGAAACTCGACGGTGGACGAATCATCTCTGACCGGGGAATCACGCCCCGTGAAGAAGGGTCCCAGGGACGAGGTTTCTGGCGGAACCGTCAACTCCGGAAACACCCAGATTGTTGTTCAAACCACCCGGACCAGCGATGATTCGGCGGTCTCCCGCCTGATTCGTCTCGTGGAGGAAGCACAGGCCAACCGTTCCGAGACAGAGAAGATCATTGATTCCTTTGCCAAGGTCTATACTCCGGTCGTGGTATTGTCGGCGCTCGCCATGTGCACCATTTCGTGGTTCTGGGGTCCGGCCGTCGGCCGTGACTGGACCAGCCGCGGACTGTCCCTAGTAGTGATTGCTTGCCCCTGTGCTCTCGTCATCTCCACRCCGATATCGTACGTCGCTGGACTGGCAGCGACCGCTCAGAACGGGGTGCTGGTCAAGGGTGGAGCCCATCTCGAAGCCCTCGGCCAGCTCAAGCATGTCTGTTTCGATAAAACGGGCACGCTCACGGTTGGCGAGTTCAAGCTACTGAAGCTCRGCATGATCGGATCAAAACTGGGACGACAAGAAGTCCTTCAGAACCTTGCTCTTATGGAAGAACGAGCAACTCACCCATTGGCAAAGTCACTGGTGGACGGCATCAAAGCCGAGGGAGTTACTGTCCCCCCTACGCTTGTCGTAAAGGATCATACCGTGTTGGCAGGTGAAGGTGYGGAAGGAACCGTCAACGGAAAGAAAGTTTATGTTGGAAACGAGAGGCTGTTTCGACGTCTAGGGATCTTTGATACTATCCCTCTGGCCCAGAAAGAKAAAATCGAATCGTGGGAAGCGACTGGTGGTACGGTAGGTTTTATGAGCATCGGGGACGAAGGAATCGTTTGTACTTACTGCGTTGCCGATGSCCCCCGTCCCGAAACCATGCAGGTCATTAAAGAGTTGAAAGATATGGGCATGAGCGTGACCATGCTGACCGGCGACAAGCGAAGGACAGCTCTATCGATCGGAAAATTGATTGGAATGGAAAGCGAAAACATCAAGAGCGAACTTCTGCCGGAAGAAAAACTAGCCCGTATTTCGGAGCTCAAAGAAGAGACGGGAGCGTCCAACCCACTTCTAGCCCTATTCTTTGCCAAACCACGTCTGGTCTTGATGTGTGGTGATGGTGTCAACGATGCCCCTAGTTTGGTGGTGGCCAATGTTGGTGTCGCAATGGGTGCRGGGGCTGCCCTGGCCATGGAAACTGCCGATGTGACCCTGATGGATTCACAGCTTACCAAACTGACCTATAGCATAAAAATGGGCAGGCTCGTGATCCAGAAGATCCGAGAAAATGTTGTCTTTTCGATTCTCGTGAAGCTTGTTGTTCTGGGATTGACCGTGACGAATCACGTTGGCCTCTGGGCCGCAATTGGATCCGATGTTGGGTCGATGATYGTGGTCACTCTCAACGGCATGTCACTCTTGCCGAAAGAMGAGAAGAAAATGCATACAACAACAACAAAAATGGAAACTCAAATTGTTTGATTCTGTKATAAAAARWTTATTCTCTATCGAAGACRAACCATGAAGATTCCTAGAGTACACGAAACAGAATAGGCGCCGCTGGGATAATTTTCGAAGGAACTAGTTACAGCCATAGATCCTTACTAGCTAGCAGWTGGTCAAATTCAATTTCCTTTTCATGGACTAGCCTGTTGGTGGTTTTTGGTATCTCTATTCTCTTTACTGTCTGGACTTATTTGTCAATCCCTCTCACATTTTATWAGTGAGACTTTTGTGCCCGCTGCGCTCTTACTACTGTTCATACTGACAATCTTCTACCCCTTATCAGCAAGCGGGCGTTGCTACACTCTTGTTGGAATTGTGATCCATTGGTTGCCTCTTGTGTAATTCAGTGTCCTGTTTGCCCTCTCTCGTAACCAACTTGCCGTGTTGCGGCAAAATGTCAATTTYTCCTTGTCCCCCCTCTCTTGGCGCTGGGTTGGTCTCCTGTCCAGCAATTGTAACACTTTTTATGACTGTATTACTTGGAGCAGGTGGAAGGCAGCTCTGTTGGTTGAATGACTATGACGTGTTGTCATCAAGTCTGAAAAAGTATCTATTAATTTAAATGTAATTGGCATGGGACACTACTAGTATCACTTAGATAATATAAGATATTTGACTAGATAATTGGTAGCCCTTTGCGACTGCTTATTTGTGTRGGTATTTCACTACCTGAAATAGTGGCATATTGTAGTACAAGAAAGAATGTCACTTCTTTGTAAGAAAGTAGGAGTCAAGCCGCATGTTTGTTCCTCTAATCCGAGAACTGAAACAAGACCATCTTGCTCACCTACTGATCTTATCTCAATCATGTTACTTTGGTAGTCTTTTGAGAGATCTCTTTCAATAGTTTTGTCCACCCTTAGACTCCTGTTCTTCAGTGGGGCTGTTCCGTTCACCATGAACCATTACTCACTCCATGGATGATATGCTTCATATCCTTTAAGAGTACGTATGAAATGTAATACATTTAGCATTTACCCTGTGTGACACGAAAAAATTTGGCGTTACAAAACAAGTGATTCCGCCAAAAAGAACACCCATCTACGGTACAAGTACAAGTTTAACGCGCAACGGAATGGTAGAAGCAAGTGTACTTCCTCCTACCGAATTCCGAAGGTAACCACAACTAAGTCAAACGTTCCGACCAGCCCAAAAAGGGTGTGAATGTTTCTGAGTCCACCGCTCCAAAGSACTGTCGCAGCCATTTTTATTTTTATTCGTAGTCATCAAAGAATTGACTCGAGCATACACAAGCCATGGGTGACGAACCTGTCAAAAGCGAAATGATAGAAAACAGCGATTGTCCCACTCCCTCAACTTCTTCTATATCGGATGACGAACAAGGGGAGGACGGATCGTCTCTTTGTAGTTCTGACCAGCAAAGACCCGAAAGCGATCAGAGCCCGGTGAACAACGACGACGAGGACAACGACAACAACAAATATTTCGAAGTGGGCGATCACGTTTACAGCTGGTGCTCGTTTTTAGGGATTCCTCGTGCYTACCAACACCATGGCATTGTSATTGACCGAGATTTGTCGAACGAGATGGTGACAATATTGGATTTTTCTTGTCTCGTAGACGGCAACGAGAATCGGCTGTCTGCCGCCGGGAGCGGGAAAATGAGATCCTCCACCTCGTGGAGATCTACCTCTGAAATCCACGACGACGAGTTGGAACAATCCGCGATCTTGAGGGAATACACGATCGAYGAATCCATTGTGAAAACCGTGTGGAGGAAGGTTCGATACGACGCGACCTTGATGGAACGGTGGTTTTGGMGGGCGGGTACCGTATCAAAGGCAACGCCAGATCCGGTGGAGATGGTTCTGGCACGGGCCGAATTTCTGGCCCGGCAACACAAGGAGTCCTCCTCCTGYCTGCTRTCCTCCTACGACTTGTTCCAGGCCAATTGCGAGCACGTTGCGGTATGGTGCAAAACGGGTCGGTTCTGCTCGTTGCAGCTTTCGTCGGTCATGGCCGTCGGCACGGCSCTGGCAGCCGTGCCRACGGTGGCGGTTTCCCAGGCCACGACGACCATTAGCGCCGCGGGCCTTTGGGGSTGGCTCGGTTATACCACGACGGTGCCCCTTGCCGTCGCGGTGCCCTGGTTGATCCCGGCTACCATCCTGGGACCGGCGGCCGCCGCTGGAAAAACSGCGTTCGATCGCAAGCGATGGGAGCAGACCACCGATGCKCTGAACAGCTCCTTTCGCGAGGACCAGTTGATGCGCASCGGGGGAAAATGCGTGGTGTATCGGGCCGTTTCCAATTCTACGAACGGTGCGCAGCTCTACGAGAAGAAGGCGTTTCCGATGTAACGTTGCCATTGTTCCATTCCAGCCGCGATGGATGGAAATCACACGAAGCGAAGCAAGGCAGAGGAAGCTCCGAAGCTCAACATTTTTAGGTAATTTAGGTCCTAGTATCAGTAAGGCACGCGAACTCTCCTCGACCGAAGAATGCTGTACACCGTTGGAACCAATAGARCAGATTAGTCCTCAACGTAAACATCCCCACACAGGCTCCTCCTTGCCGAGATATAATCAGTTTCTAACCTTATTCACACTCTTCTCATATCCTAAAAAGATTGTTTCATGAYGAGAAGGAATTCGACAAYAACAAATTTGTGCTCAATAAAATAGTAAATAATAGTGTGTTATTATTCCTAGTATGTTTACTAAAATCATTTTGCACTAATACTAGATCCTAGTAAGAGCAGAAGAAGTAGCGCCAGTGGTTTTACTTCAATGTTGCCAATTATAGTACTAGTAGCTAGTACTAACACTATCACCATCATTAGACCATACTAATACTCGTCCTCTGCTGTAAGAAGAACCAGCATGATTATGCGCTCAATCTTCTTGTTGTTGTTGCGAATGACAAGATTACTATGCTGCTAGTACTATTTCTAGTAGTAGTACTAGTACTAGGCTAGTAGTAGTACTAGTACTAGGCTAGTAGTAGTAGTAGTAGTAGTAGTAGTAGTAGTAGTAGTAGTAGTAGTAGTATGACCTCCTTATTTGTTGTTGTTGTTGTTGTTGTTGTTGTTGTTGTTTTCTTTGCAGCACTACTACTACTAGTAGTAGTACTACTCCAGCTCACACCACCAGTACTACTACTACTACTAGTACGTAGTAGTATGATGATGGTATGATGGTTTGGTTTTCTGGTGATCATAGAAAAAAGTGGTGGATTCTTGTTGTACTTCTTTGTAAGCAAAGGAGGTCAGAACTGTGATACTTTTCTTATCTTTCATTTGACTCATTCGACTCACCGATATGCGTCAACTCCCCTGTCGGTCGGCATCAACGGTTTTCTCATACTTTCGCAATAGTACATACCGGTAGGGTCTTCAGCCGCATTTCGTGGCGATTGCCGAACGCTTTTTCGGGTTTTTCCGTGGAACAGARCCCGCGTTTTGTTTCGCCACGGTACAGAGAAACGGGTTCTGATTGTTTCCACGCTGGGCTCCGGGAAAAGAACCACCACGACGCAACGCAACGCAACGGAACGGAGTTTCGTGCGACTTGATGCGGTGGGATGCCACCCAACTCGCTTTCGAGAGGCTTCCCTCTGGGCCCGCGCCGCGTGTCCAACCGCCGATTGTCCGGAGCCGATCCACCGCGGTKGTTGGCGAAGGGCATCTCTGTTCTCGTCGCCGGCGTTCGATCCACACCGYATTGCATTCGATGCCAGCAGCGTGGCAYGGTGGGGGATGGGACGGAGCAAGCGGAGACTTCTAGCGTGCTGGTTCGCAACTCCGCACGGCAACCACGGCAACCACGGCAAGGACTGCAAGAACGCCTCGAGCGATGGATTCGGTGCCTCTGTCTCCTCCCATTTTCGCGAGGAGACAAACGCCACGCAACCCCACGCCACGCAACACAGCAACACAGCAACACCCAACAAACACCCAACCCCATCGACCAACCATGGTGCGTTTCGCTCGATTTCTCCCGGCTCTCTCCACCTTGTTGGCTTCTTGGAGCGTGCTGCTCGCGGCAGCCCCGTTCCCGGTGGTCGTTTCCGCGGCCGCCCCCAGAGTCTCCGTTGCCCTCGACATCAACGGCGCCTTGGATGCGAGAGAAGCCCGGGACGGCTATTCCAGCGAGTTTGGCCTGGTCCGCAGCCACCGGATCCGCGGGCACGGAGACCACCGCAACACCAGGCACGAGAACGAGAACGACGCCCGGGGCGTAGCGATCGTGGCCGGGAAGAACCGAGCCCGGCACCTCCGACAACAGCAGCAGCAGAAGCAGCAACATCAGCAGCAGCAGCAGCATCAACAGCAGCATCAAGAACAACGACAACGACGACGACGACGCCTCGCGCAGGAGAAGAAAAAGGCAAGGAGGGACGCCGGCGGCGGCGAGCCGAGCGACGGGTCGAGCGGTGGTTCGTCTGTTTCCCCGCCCCCCTCCGGCAAGCCGAGCCCCTCGGGCAGCGGTGGCAACAGCACCCATGCTCCCACCGCCTCCCGGTCCCCCTCGGTTCCTCCCACCGCCACCCAGGCCCCCACGGGGGTTCCGAACCAATCCCCCCTTCCGACCTCTTCTCCAACGGCAACCACGAGCGACCGGAAGGGCCCCTCGAACCGGGCAAAGATCCCGGAGGTGCGGGGGCTCGACCCCCTCGGGGTCGTCCTCGCGGCCCTGCTGGGAGCGGCCGTCTTGCTCGGGGCCGCGGTCAGGTGCTGGTGCGGCTTCCGAGAGGCGCACAAGCGCCGGCAGAGGCAGCGGGGAGGGACGGCCCCTGCCGGTTCCGCGTCTGCTTCCGTCGCCGCCGCCACAGGCCCGGACGGCCCCGGGACGACGAACTACGAAGCGCTGGTGGCCTAGCGCCGCGCCGTCTCGGGGAAGCCCAGGGGAGGGAAGGAACGAACCAACACGAAGCCATCGCTGCAATCCAGTGCCGCAAGTGCCGCGCCACCGCCTAGAAGTACCAAGTATGGTACAAAGTATTCCGTCGCGGCAACGAGAGACACCTATGATGTTCATGTACAGCAGATTCGTCACTGCTTTCCTCCTTTGTGGACAAACACAACCAGAGTAAAACGTACACTAAACATGCTAGAAAGTCTCGTCGTATAGTTGCACAATCGTTCTATGTTTGTTATCATTCGTACTTTTTTCGTTTTCCGTGGCCAGCGGCCAATGCCCAGTGCTGCACGGGTGTTCCAGCGCTCAGTTCCAGGTCGGCGCGGGCCCGAACGGAAGGCTGTTYCCGGGCGTGTAGTCCCGGTCGACACCCGAGGCGTCGATGGCCACCGTTCGGACGACGCCCCCGGAGGACCCGTCCCTCGCCATGGCGTGGCTGCAGGCCTTCTTCGCAAGGGCCCTCGCCTCGTCCCTGGTCATCCCGGTGCGGTATTCGGCGTCCAGGAGCCCGGCGATGAAGACGGACCCGGACCCGCCGGTCGCAAAGGGGAGCTTGAGGCAGGATCCCCCCAGGGTGATGGTGTAGACCGAGCCCCCGTCGACGGGATCCCAGCCCGCGACAATGACACCGGCCATCAGCCGGTCCTTGTTGTTGTAAATGAGGCGGCGCATCAGGTGGGCGGCCGTCTTGACCGTGGGTTGGCGGCCCGTGTCGAGGCTGTGGATGTCGCGGGGCAGTGTGTGTTAATTCGTTGGGTGGTCGAGTCGGAACGCCGCGAGTTGGAACGACGCAAAGAAGAAAAAGCCGGTGGTTTGGTATTGTTGTTGGTTCGTGTTTCATGGGTTGTTGTGTGGTATTGTGGTATTGTGGTTTTGTATTGTATTGTTTTGTGGTGCCGGCCATTCAAGGATCAAGGATCGATTTCCGTGAGAATCCAAGAAGAGTGGCAACAGATATCAGGCAAGGCAGAAATGGCAACAAGAGGAAAAAAGTTGGTGAGAAGAATGCCAAACGGAAACCGAACCGAAGGATCATGCACGGAAGGCACTCTTTCGATTGCGGGAATCCACCCTCCGGCCTTCCCTCGATCATTCGCTTTCGGAAAAGGCAGCATCCGGCGCGGCCCAGCAAACACGCATCCCCAACACACCACACAAAAACGCCCTGGACCAAACGACAAAAACCGCGGACTTGCCTCCATTGGTTGAGATAGTAGTGGACGTAGTCCGTCAGCGTCTGCGTGTCGGCGGCGGATCCGCTGCGGCAGACGTAGATCTGTTCCGAGATCTGCACCAGCTTGTCCGAGACGCGGTTGGCCACGTAGGTCCCGGTGGAGGTCCGGGAATCGGCGCAGACGACGATGCCCCCGTCGTAGGGGAGCGCCAGGATGGTCGTTCCGGTCGAGACCTCCCCGGGCTTGAGGTGGCGCCCGTAGCTGGTCCCGTTCTGTTCGTTGATGATTTGAAGGTCGGTCATGGTTTCGATTCGAATGCTATTGTTGCTGTTGCTGTTGTTGTTGTTGTTGTTGTTGTTGTTGTGTTCTTTTGTCCAAGCTGTGTCTCGTATTGCTGGTTCGGTTTGTTGCGTTTGATGCGTTTGTTGCGGGACGAATCTATCGATTTCAATATCAAGGCAATTGGTTCTTGGTTGATTTGCTGTCTAGTGTGGTGTGTATTACCGTAGGCTAGATGCGAGTCGTTACTATCGATATCCTTTGGAGTGTTGTCCTTGTTGTCCTTGTTGTCTTAGTAACCTTTCATCAGGCTTTGGATCGATCGATGCTTTTGATGCACGACATGATCCTCCCGATTCTTACTGTTTTTCACGCGTTGCTTTGGTTCGACCGCCTTCGACGGATTTCGAAAAAATAGCGCTAAGAAAGTACCGGTACTCCTAGTCTTTTTCTCTTTTGGCACTACGGTACGGCACGGTACGAATGCATGTACGTTCTGATAGTGCGAGAACTGTATTTGTGCTAGAACTACCAACTACCACGTTATGTACGTACGTCCTGGTACCGGTACAACTAGTGAACATATTTTTGGAGAGAGTCAGACGAGTCGAGTCAGTCGGTCCAAGTCACGTTCCAACCTCCTATAGTCCCCGAAGTTGTTCTTCGTTTAACGAACGAGATCATGTCCTGCATCGTCCCATTCTTGTGCCGGATCGATAAATAAACTTGCTTCAGAATTTTGCAAAGCCGTACGGTACTCCCTGTCCATTCTCCGACTGTTCAAAATTTCAAAAGAGATCGTGGTAATACCGCACACGATGCAACAGAAACACGATGCGGTGATTCTTCCCGCCGTGTCCGGTGTGATGCGATGCGGTGCGGTTCGGTGGGAATGGAATCGCTGCGTGCGGATCGAGATGGAATTGTTTCTTTACAAGTTTTTCTTTGAACCGTRGTACGAAGCGCACCGCACCGGCTTATCGGAACAACTCCCCGCGGTTCGGTCGTGGGACGAGGGACGCGTTCCCGGTTTGTTTCACGGACCCGGTGTTCCGTACTCCAAAGGGAAACCCGCGAGAGAAGGATGGCATGTTCACGCTCCACCTCTCCTCTCTGAACGGCCGGGGGATGAGCAAGGAACCGTGCGAAACTCCTGCTGGACAGGGAAGTCCACGGCCAGCGATCGAGACAAACCGAGAAGGGAACCAGCGAATCATCGAAACACGCAGCGATGAGCCCCCGGGTTGCGGTCGTTGTTCAAAGCACCTATCGTGTGCCTTCTGTTCGAGAAACCACACTCTGCGGGACCAACATGCAACGCCACGGTGCAAATTCTGCTTTTCTCATCGCGCGGCAAGAGTACTAGTGTTCATGACGATAACGAGCAATCTTTCTTCCSTCCTCAATCGCWCAAAAAATTCTGCCCTGGTTTTGTTATCCTTGCATTCGTTCCTGCACACCTCCTGGCGCCTGTTTATTGTTCTTCTACTCTCGGCTCAATGAACAACCAAGATAGCAGCGACGAAGCCTTCATCGAGAAGTGGATCGCTAGGGTATCGCGATCGCGATATCTTTTTYCTTCAGAATTGGAATTTGCGCCTGAAAGAGCGAAGAACAATCTGCACGTTGTCACTGCTGCAGTAAAAATAGATGGCTATGCATTGCAATATGCATCTGAGGGAATGAAGAACAATCTGCAAGTTGTGACTGCTGCAGT